CCCCCCCAACCCCCCCCCCCCCTCCCTGCGGGAGATTGCCGAACAGAACAGAACAGAACATAACAGAACCGACATCGCTGGTTTTCCCCACCGTTAACCGGCGTGTGCCGCCACTCTCCTCCCCCAATTCGCCCTCTCCGTTCATCCAGTCCAGTCAAGTATGTGTGACGTGTCTAACCCCTAACCGTGAGCCACCACTTTCCATCGGCTACTAGTGCATGCTCGCACGACGCACGATCAACACGTCTCGGCGCCTCGGTTTGTCGTACATAACCGCGTGATATTCCCCGCGTAACAGCAGTAAAATAAAATAATAAATTAGCAATGATGATGATTTGAGTAAATTTAAGTGATGTTTTTGTAATGAAATTAGTTTCATCGATATTCGCTAGTGCATCGCGCTTTTGTCATGAGTGCTAAGACCCGGAACAGTTGATCGGGGGACGCGGTAGTGCATCGGCCAAGTAAGCGTTTGAATTCGGACACTCGCGGACAATCATGACGCGCCACTTGAGAGATTGATTCTCGCTGTGATTTTTTTATGCTGTTGTGATTGGTGATATTGATTATGGAGTCGGAGCAGATGATCGAGAGGGCATCCAACTCCGAGGATTTGGTGCTGCCAAAACCGTCGAATAGTATTCCTAGGCACAGTATTGATGCGATACTGGGGAGAGGACAGAGGAGAAATCAGCAGGAGATGGAGGAGGGGACTAGGGATATCCAGTTTCCAGGGAAGGATACTCAAGAGAGTACTGGTAATTCATTCAATTAAAAAATGCGATCGAGTCGGTCAAGAAAGTCGGGATAAAACGATTCTATAATTTTTTGTCTGAATGTAGCGATCATTCAATGATTGGGGGTGGTATTGGTGGGGATGATGATGATTGTTATTGTTTGAGGAGTCTATTGTTTTCAATTGCTTCGGGATTTCCAAGTGATTTGGCTATTTTTTTGTCCAGTGAAATGCTTTTCTTATTCTTTAGTCGAACATCAGAGAGCTCTTTCATTTCAGAGAGCCCCATTCGACTTCAAGTTTCCGGACATTTTACAATGATTTCATTGTTTAAACTTTGGAGGTCTGAATTTGAATCTCCATAGAACACATTTTAAAAATCTAATCAAAAATTAGAAAGTCTACCTTTGGAGGAAGATTAGAGAAATTATTCCATAGAAAGTGCAATTTTTTGAATTACGAGCATTTTCTATAAATAATTTATAAACAATCAATTTTTCAGAATCAAAATCACTTGTTAGGAATCGCAAGGAATTTATTCATGTTCAGAATTTTATCAGAAATCGATTCTGAAATCGATTTCTGAAAGTTTAAATAATTAAAATTATTTATGTTTAAAAAAATTATTCTGTGCAAAATCGAATTTGAATGACCCTGAATATTCATGATTTTTTTTCAATTTTTTTTTACGTAATTTAATTAACAAAGACGATTGGAAATGACTGAATCCATAATGTGGTCTCATCAGCTTTCATTTGTGCCCCATTGGACCCTAAGTTTCCAGACATTTTACAATGATTTTATTATTTAAACTTTGCAAGTCTGAATGTGAATCTCGATATTGAACCGTTAGAAAACATTTTAAAAATCTGCGGAGAAATTAGAAAGTTTAATTTTGGAGGAAGATCGATGAAATAATTATATGATAATAAATAATAATTATATAATAATAAAAATGAAATAGAATGGAAATTACTTGCCTCAAGTAAATGTGTTTCAGATAAAAAATCATTATTTAGAAATTGTTTTCTCAGTGTGCATAATTAATAATGATGATGGTTTCTACTATTATTATTGTTATTATTATTGGTATTATTATTATTATTATTATTATTATTATTTGGATTTTATTTTTAGGGAGAATAATGAATTTAAATTATGTTATTTTTCATTTCAAGTTTATCTGATGTGTTTTAATATATTTTTTCCCCTCGTCATAAGCCGCGAAATAGTCCGACGGCGAGTGCACAAGTCAGCCCTCTCGTTTGACTAATTAGCCTCCCCCCACCGAACAGGTCAAATGGGTAGCTATGCAATTAATCACGACGATAATCAAAATTAGTTAGACCGCGTGTCTAGATTTACCCACATGCGTATTAAAATCGAGGCTAAAACAATTCACGAAGTATTCTCGATTCCCAGTGTTACCAACTGGTCGTAAATAATTCATATTTAATTAGGGCTGGAGGCGGAATTTAGATATTAATCTAATGCTGGGAGAGAGGCTCGTCATGTTGATCGACGTTCGAGTTAATGGAGATGTTAATTTTAATTGAGAGAAGAAAAGGGAGAGTGGGCGAGAGAAAATGGTTTTGAATAAGTCCAGGGTTATTTGATCCACTTCAGGGGGAGGGAATTTTAGGCAGAATCATAATGTAGAATGTATATTATCATATTTCATTACATAATTCTTTCAATTTTCATTAACTTAATGATCAGTCAAATTTTTTTTTCAAATTCTCAAATATTATAGATGAAATTGACTTTGAAAGATCAACGATTATTTTATTAATCGAATAATCAAGTTTGGAAATTTAGAATTCATTGTTTAATAATTGAGAATTGAAATTATTTTCAAATTTCCGTAAAAATTCGTGAAATTTAATCAATTTGAGGTGAATTTCTTTCAGTATTACTAGTTTAGTGATTTTTGCCGATTACTGTTTAGCAGTTATTTTCAGGAGAGCGGCAGTGAATTCAATTTAGAGGATAAACATCACGGAATTTCAAATTTCAATAAAAAGTGAAAGGAATTTCTGAATGCAAATTACACGGAATTTTTAATTAATTGGTTTTTCTGAATTCTCCTAATTTTTGTTAACTTTCATGGAAGGATTGAACTGAAATTTACAATTTCTATTCATTTTCCCCCAAATTAATCAATTTGATGAAAAATTGTAAATTTGTGAAATTGGAAATTCGCAGTTTGACGAAAAAAAATGAATAAAAATCGTAAATTTTCAAGAAATGTCATGCAAATTTCAGCTAAAAATTGTTCGACATCAGTGAAGAATGAAACGAATGCATTGAACGATTTTTATGCCTAGTTTTATCGTTGGAAACGGGGGAATGAAATTTCACAGTGCGTGATCCCGAAAACGCGAGAGACGCTGATCGATGGAAAAAAAATAGTGCTTCAGAGTGAGAAAAAAATAGGAGGATGAAAGGTTGGAGACAGTGTATACTGTGCAAACCTGACGCAGATATCGTGAGGCAATGTCAGCGTATAATTGGAAAATCGTTATAATCGACGTGGCAATCTCTCTCGGGGGAGTGTGTGGTGTGCAGCGCTTTGCCGCGACTAATTTGCCGAAGAACGATACCCCTGGTGACCGGTTTAGTTGTCCCAATGAGACTTTTCCTGAACATTTACCCTCAATGTTTGAATTTCTTGTTTTGAAAGTCATAATTGATTCATTGTTTGCAAATTCGTCTCATTCAATCTGTGAAATCTCCTGGGGAAGTGGTCCGATTTGGGCAAATCATATCTCATTTTAAAGATTCAGAAAAGATCTTGAGAATGAGACCAAATTTTTCGAATTTCACTCTACCGATCTCGAGTTATTAACGATAGGATTTCTCTCCTTCAATTTCAATTAATCCTAAATGTAAAGTTAATTTTGGAAAATCGCTTATATCTCCTGAACGAATGATGCGATTTCAATAAGATAGATCTCATTTTAGAGATATTTAAAAAATCTTGCAAATGAGCACCTGTTTTTTCAATTTCACTCAGCCAATCTCGAGTTGTTCACATTTGAAGATAATCGATTTTTCGTCAATATCTTCTAATTGCAAATTACAATTATTTCTCTAAAAATTGTACTTTCTTTAGGCATGGAACGTCTTAGAAGACTTAGAAATGTTTCTACGGTGGAAGAATGACAACTGAAGATCAATGATGGAATACTTTTGAAAAACCAATCGAAATAATTTATTAACTAGGTGAGAAAGTGCAAATTAATTGATTTTTCATGTGCTATAGCTCGAGGAAGGGATAATGTCTGTATTGCGGAAGATCGTGAGTGTAATGGTCTGACGTAGCAATACAAATACACTGAGTAATAGTAATGGAGGGGTGAGTTGAAGGCGTATAAGCATAAATGTGGTAAAAGTGCATTGGGTGGCAGTCGTAAAAGGCTTTGTTATAGAGGTAATACCGGGTAATACTGATCGCGTGACACTGCCACGGGCCCCACCGAGGCAATTACGTGTAATTTCATACCCATTTATACTGGATACCTTGTTTTTTTCGGCCATAAGTCACACTCTCCCAGGGACTACTGCCGAAATGAAACGTGGTTTTAAAAAAAACGAGTGAAAACGAATTAGAGTAGAATGTTAAAAATAAAAGTAGAAAGTTGAGTTACAGACAGGGCAACATTTTGAGGCATGTACAAGCGTGCGAGATCAAACTTATCGAAGTAAATTAATCGGATCGGGCTTCAATCCATTTACCTTCGGGGGGGTTTTATTATTCAATCCTCTGGGCTCATTAAAACTCTTATCGCAGCTGTAATCACATTATTTATTATTGGAGATCTTGGGGGATATCTTGTTTCATATTTTTAATGCTTTAATGGATAGTTGTACTAGATTAAGAATATGGAAGTTAGTTTTGTTACACAGCAAAAACGAGTCTGAATTTCACACACCTTTTGTTGACATTTTTCAGACAACAAAAAATGTCTGAGTAAAATGAAAATTTGTCTCAATTTCAAATATGAATTAAGATGTTTAGGCACCGGTTTGTCTGAATTTCAGACATTATCCTAAAATTATCCCAGCGAACGTGAATAATTGTTCAATAAAAGATGAAAGTTTTATGAAGTTATTTTACATAAAAATATATCAAAAATTCAAAAATTATTTTTCGCGTCGTAAGGGTACCATGCGTGGAATTAATTCTCACTTCTTCATGTTCTCTCATGAATCTCAGAAATTTCAGTTTCTTCAATTTTTTCAAATTCTCCAGTTTCTTGGAAAATTCTAGAAAAAAAATTTTTTATTCGAGAAAAATTTAGAAAATTATTCAGTTATCTAGGAAATTCGCGGACTCTCTGAATAATGCAAAAAAATGGCTTCGTTACACTTTCCTTATTGTTTACTTCCTGAATTGATCAAAGTTGCAAAATCATTCATTAATTTTTCAATTTTTTTTTTTTTATCATTGTCTTCAGCTTTGATTCAGTTTTTTCTCTTCCTCATATATTTTCATAATGCCTTTATGAATCTATGAAATTTAATACACTTGAAGTTTGAATAAAAAAAAGAAAACTTGTCATAAATAAATGAGATAAATGAGACAGATAATTTATCCTACTCTCAATTACCCACGATATTTTCAAACTAGGGGAGGTTGTGGTAAAATGGACACTTTTGACTTTTTAAAAAATATTAGTGACGGGTTGAAATGTTGATGAAATTTAATCTTTTTTTTTTCAATACAAAGAACAATTCTTTCCCTTTGTGATGAGCCTAAACTGAGCTCTATTGATATATTTGTTTCTGAGTTATGAATAATTTTAAAAAAGTCCAGTGTCCAAAGTTGAAAAAAATTTTTATGTATTACAATAATAATGGAAAATTATCAATCCAAATTATTATAAAAATACGAATGTAGCGAAATACTTTTCGTTCCCAGTATTTAACTTCCGAGACGAAAAAAAATATAAAAACCAACACCTGGGAATAAAACGACTCTCCCCATTCGGTTGCTAGGACACGTGGGCCAACGGAAGCGAATGGCCCCGTGTGCGCACACACACACACACATACACACACATACACACGTACCAACACCCGCATGATAGCGCGGTGGAAGGTGGTACAACCGCATACCGATGTTGAGAATCGATCAAATTTTCTCAATCAGAATAAAATGGAAATAGCGATTCCCGTCCGGCGAATTCTCCATTCTTGATTCTTAAAATGTTCTGTAATTATCCGATGAGGACGGGTCGAGGTGGAAAAATTGTAGATACACGGGGGAGAATGCCGGTTGAACGATTTCCCGTCGCGTGAAATTGTCTCTCGGCTAATCAAACTCTAGATCGGTGGAACGATTTAAACGAATTACCGCTCCTGTTATGGATGAATCAAACATGCACTCGGGTCTTACTGCACATTAGCCGGGATACCCCAAACTACTGATCAATACCAGAGGCACGAGCAATTGCAATTGGGTAACGAGCAATTATCAATTTTAACTCGTTAGAAAGAAGACAAACTCGATTTTAGGAGTGATTGGCTTTTTTTTCGTTCTCTTCTGTCAATTTCATTGGGGAAGAGGGTGAGGCAACTGAGGGAAGGAAGTGTCTCATTGCAGATTATTTTTTGGGGGAATAGTCATGTGAATTTATAGATTTTTACTTCCGAAGGGAAGCATTGTACACTGTTTATTAAAAAATTAATTCTCAACAAATTTTATTATGAAAATTTCCAATTACTTCTGAAGAATTTTTTCTGCTGTATTCTCCCCAAATTCATGGGAAAATCCAGGATTGAAGAATATCAATTTAGTAAGTAAAGCGAAAAAATCATATTTTTTTACTAGATTCGTTAATTTTTTCTTCTCCAATTGAAAAAAAAATTGTCTTATGAATAAAAAAAATCATATTCATTCGAAATCATTCGGAATAAAAGAAAAAATTACCAAAATTACCCAAGCAATTTAATGATAAACTCTTTACAAAATAATTATGTAAAAAAATTCGGTGAATTCTGTCGATTTTTCCCAATTTTTCTCCCGCAATTGAATTCTAAAAAATCCGATAAATTAATAAATTATGTAAGAATGCCCCCGATAATGTTCACTCGCAGCCTCTAACCCCATTACCATCTCCTCCCACCGCGAATGCTTCTCTCCCTCAGAGCAAGCCTCCCCCCAACCCGATTACGCCACAGGAAAACCCAACGAAAAAAAATGATACAATTAAATGGAAAATTGTGAGTCCCTGCACACAGGCTTCATTATAATAGTAATCAGCGCCTACCGTGCCTCGTTATCGCTACCGGTTAATAATTTAATTGTTTGGTGGCGTGCTAGGCTTTATTGGGATATCTCTGGCGGCATCGGGCTGCGGCGCGCGCGTCGATGTGTCGAGCCGTCGTCTGCACCACCGAGGGAAGGCCTATCCCTCTCTCCCTCTCCCACATGCACGAATTTTCCGGTCAAATAGTGTAAATGGGTACTCGGAGAAATGTTCAATGAATAATTAATCGCATGTAAAATTCATCTTTAGAATTAAAGTGAAGAAAAAAGAAAAAAAATTATTGAAATAGTTGCCAAAAAGTCTAGAAATAGTTGATAAAAATTATTGAAATAGTTGATAAAAAGTTAAATTGTTGGAATGGAAATTCAAAACCAGATGTAATAAATATTCTCCACAATTATAAAATAGCATTTTCGCTATTTTTTTCAAAAAGGAAAATTTTTTAAAATATTATTTTGTTTTCAATTCCAAAAATTTATAAAAAAATTCCTCGCTTCCGAATTTTCCCTTGCGTTTGTTGAGGGTGCAGTAAGAAAAAATTTCTTGTAAAGTAACTGAAAATTCTATAATAGAATTCTTTGCGTATGAGAATAGGAAAAAATTGATGGAAAACAATTTTAAAATGAAGTGAAGAAAACTCCTTTGAGGTATGTTCTATTCCACGGGGGGGAAATTGAGAGGCTGTATCTTGACATGAGATTGTTTGTACTCGACAGCTTGATTTTCCTCGTTGGCAAATACACAAACACATATATTCGATGGTAGTTGAATTTCGCATGAGGAATGCCTGTGTGCCAAGGACATATGCACAAAAGCGAAATCAATGTATAGGTGGTGCAGAATAATGTAACGTTATACTGGGTAGGAAGGTAGCGAGCAAAACCCGATGACAGCTTAAGAGGTTTTTCAGTCAAATGCTCTTAGGGATTTTTGAATTTTTTCGTTTTATCTCGTTTGCACTGTGAAAATTCGTGTCTGAAGTCGAGACTGTTTTGCCCCTTTTCAAGACCAATCTGTCCCCAAATTTGAGTCATTGCGACATGAATTCTAGGCATTTTCTAATTCCTAAGCCTTACCCATCGCCATTAATTAAAATTTATTCATCGATTCATTTTGTCAATTTTCGAATTTTTTCAAAATTCAGTTGTAACACGATAAGTAAAAAAAATGTTCTAAATTCATTGAATGACGGCTTAAAGAATTCGTTGGGATGTCCTTTTGACCGAGTTCGAAGATGAAAGCGATAGCAATAATCGTTTTTTGAGTTCTGTGAAATTTTTCCAAAATGTCGTATTTTTCGAAAATCAGAATTCCGCAGATATCTCTGGATATTGCGCTTCAAATGAATTAAATCATAGCTTAATATGATTGTTTCAATGCGACTATAACGAAGTTAAAAGATGGTTACAATAACTGTCTCGGTTAATTTGATTTTAAGAATAATTTTTGGAAGTTTAGAATTTTTCATGAATTTCCCTGAAAGTTAGATTTCTGATGGTTCCTTTAAAGGTGATGTTTCGAATGCATTCAATTATGTATAAATGAAATACTCCTGATAATATTTCATCGAAATTTTCAGAAATTTTTCGACTTTCATTAAGTGGAAAATCTGAAAAAATTATTTGGGAAGAAATTGATTTAATTCAAGAAAATAAAATAGGCTATGAGTAACATACAATGGAATCACTATACTATACGCAATACAGGAGCAATTTCCCACTTGTTTTCCAAATTAAGCAACACTTTGAAGATTATTTTTCCGTCCCTGCATTTTATACTGTTTTGTCCGCTATAATAGTAATTTTTAATTTTATATTCTCTCCGAGTAAGCCTCATTGTTGTGTCTAATATCCTAAAATAATAGGCCTTGAGGTAATCCGTTTTTTCATAGCTGATTAATTGATTGAAGATTTTTCAATTTATTCAACAACACCAAAAATCCGATCCGAAAAAAAAGAATAGAAGTTAAACGAGAGATTCAGAGTAGAGTCAGCAGCAGAAAGGACTAAATTCCTTAATCCTCTTTCGTCTTTTGACGGCGGCGAGGCTGAACTCTCTGTTTAACACCCATTGCCTCTTCAGGATTCTCCACTGTGCTTCATTTTATTTTTCTTTCAAACGCTCCAATCCTCTCGAGCGACTCGACGTACCAGCGACGAATCGACACTCATGTAACACTCGAAAATAAAACAAACGAGCTCATCTTCCAGGGGATTAAAAAATCATTAAAAATCCCACTGTCTTTTTTCCCCGTTTTTTGAAAATGTAATTTCAATGTTTCAATACTCGAGCAAATAAAACAACTGATTTTTCGTCTCAGGACAGTCTCCGAATTGTCAGCCCTAAATTTTATTTTCTGAAAATTTTTAGCGTACGATTTATTCTTCTGGGTCAAACAGAACTTGATTGAGATTTTTTTTTCTCTCAGTGCACGTAATTTTTGTCTCAAAGCTCTCTCTCGGTGCACGCTTCCATCGCCAACGATCGGCTCAAAGTTTAACTCGATTAAATCGGAGCCAAAAGGTAGTATTAAGACAACTGTAATAGCGCGAAGTGCTTTTTCCCCCCGAGATAAATTTATCGATGAGATCGAAGGGGAGCACCCATTAGAGGTGAAAAAAACGTTTTCGTCCGCCGAGTCCATTATCCTATCTCCACGTGTCAATCTCTTAAGTAGCTAGAACGTTTCACTGGGCAGTGGTAAAGACCCCTTTACACACTTCGCCGTTGATACAATCTCATATTTCTTTTTCGTATAATACAAGGAGTTGAAAAAAAAATGAGGATCGAAAACTGGTTGAGTTGTGCCCGGAGAATCGGCATCTCCATTCTTCATTCGGATTTCAGCAAAAATTACTGAGAACTAGAACGTTTTACCTGATTCTTGATGAAATTCCACTGCACGGAGAGAAATATTCAGTAAAAATGACGGAACAATTCACGTAATCCGCAATGGGGAATCGTTTTCCGGCAATTTTTATAGGAATTCAGTGAATTTTCAGGTTCGTCACCGAACAAAGTACGAAATTGTCACGTAATTTTTCCCGAAGAAGTAAAATCTTACAGCAACTTGGCGACTTATTGTGCCTCAAAAATAAAAAATTCTTGAATTCTACGTTACGTTCCGTAAAATTTCTCAATCGTTGGGGAAAAATTACGGAACGACTTGTCCCCACAGCGGTGAGTCATCAGACGGTTGGTTAATTTTTACGGAACAAATCGACTCACATTTTTATTGAATTTTACATCGCTCGCGGTTTACGTTTCGAAGCGTAATTTTTACGTTTTTTTTGGTGATTGTTATTGAATTTTTCGCAATTTATTAATCTAATTGAGGATTTTTAAATTGAATTACAGGTGAGAACTCCTGCAATTCAACGGGCGGTGGAAGTGACGAGGAACTAGGTGCCAATTGTGATGATGTGAATCCAAGCAAAAAGAAACACCGGAGAAATCGCACAACATTCACGACTTATCAACTTCATGAGCTTGAACGAGCTTTCGAGAAGTCACATTATCCGGATGTTTATTCTCGTGAGGAGCTCGCTATGAAGGTCAAGCTACCGGAAGTCCGTGTTCAGGTAAATTTAATTATGAAAATTAAAAAAACTCTGGGAGAAAGTCCGGGAATTTCTGTTATTATCGGAATGACAGCATATATATTACATTTTTTAATCAACTTTCATTTGAATTTTTTAAAGAGAATTTTCCCCAGAATCAACGATAAAATTCACAGACCCATTAATTTTTAAACGCTTCATTTACAAAATTCCAGTTTAAAAAATCAATTTAATTTTTTAAAAAAGTACGAATGTCATTTTATCAAAGAAAACATGCTCAATTTCCATTTCACCTATCGTTTCCTTCGTAATTAATCTAATCAAAAAATTAAATCATTGAACATAATCAGTTCCATCAACGAATCACTCCCCCTGTCGTGACCCACGAAATCCCAATCCTCAAAAGCTCAACATTTGAATTTACAATCGAAATGTCAAATCGACATGTAGTTTAGTAATCGTATTAAACTAAATTAAATTAATCACGTGCGTGACAAAACTTTGACTTTACTAAAAAAAAATTGACGAGTTTAAATGAAAATCCCAAAACTCCAAAACTCCTGTTTCAAAAATCAATTTCATCGCAAAATAAAAAATAGGAATGTCATTTCATAAAAAAGAACATTCTCAATTAATTGACTCAACTAGAAAATTAATAATTTTAATATTTAATTAATATTCAAATTAAATAATGATAATATTAACAAATAATACTAATAATATCAACGAATAATAAAAACTTCCCCTGCCGTCACCCCAGAAATTCTGATTCTCAAAACCTCAAATTTAGATATTTTACCTAAAAAATTGTCGTGCATCTGAAACGTTTCCTCATCCAGTAAAAACTTACTTCATTACCCACCACCAAATTAACTCAGCCCATCACCATAAACTTTTCGCATGAGATTACACCCAGCGTTATCAATTGTCAATTAAAAATGACGAAATCACTCAGCTTTCTCGATCCCTCCTTTTTTCCTCTCTCCTCCACTTGTCTATTTTTCTTCATCCTATTTTATTTTATCTCCAGTAATAAGCTTAAGGGATTAGGAGAGGAAAGAGTGATGCACACGCAGAGTAACAGGGGGCAGC